CTCAGCTTTTGTCAACTTTTAATAACATTTTTGTAACTTGAGAATACTCATTTCAACAATGTACAAACCGGTATTTGCAATCACCCCCACACCACCCTTCCCCTCTTTCCCCCCACCACTTTATTTTTTGCGCACATTCGAACACCTATAAACACACTGATATTATCGAAAATACACACACACACTCACACACGCACACACGCACGCACACACGCACACACACACTCACACACACGCACACACACTCACACACACACACACACACACACACACACACACACACACACACACACACACATACACATATACACATCATTGCGCGCGTGCACGAACATAATATATGTACGGAAACCGGGATATATTATTATTATGCGTATCCATGACTCAGAACAACATACTTGGGTAACCTAAACAAATGGGTAACAGGGAAAGATCAGAGAAACGTAGCTTTTTTTAGAGCATCCGTGCAAAGGAATGAATGCAAAACCATGATCGCCGATGTCTGTCGCAGATCTGGCACCGGATGATGATGATCCATGCCAACATTTCCACCCTCAGGTTATGGATCCTGATTCAAACGTGGTCAAACAACTGACACCCTCCGTCAAGATGGGCTCCACTTCCAAGAGTTTCAGACGGTGAGTTCAAATGTCGTCATGTAGATCTAGAATGTAGATAATATGTATATCATAATTCTGTCTTTCAATTCAAGAGGTCATTCGTTTACCAGGTCTACTTAAAGAATTCACTTTCCAGTAATGGTCTCTTAACTGTTTCAGGTTTCTCATAGCTAAACCATTTTTTTTAAAACAAAACAAAAATACATTACCTTTTATCGTATTGCATGGCTCAAACATGTTATTGTACATTTAGTGTTTCAGAAGCCTGTTTGCGACACTAGTACTAGTATTACCCGACCCAGAATCACACATGGAAGGTACAGATCTATTGAATCTGCTCTTAAAAGTAAGGAGTTCTGTTTTAGTAAGCGTTTTACGGTACTTGCAACACAATTGCGTCATATAAGTGCAGAAGATAAAGGTGTAACAAGACAGTAACAAACGCAAGAAACAGGAGACATAAGGACGATATATATTTGACAGGAAAGAATGAGCAAACGATACCATAGCACCTGCCAACCACCCGGGAAAGTGAGGAGTGTACAGATCATAAAAGAGACATGGTTTCAGATTATCACTGACAGCTAATATTAAATTAGTTGACCATTAAGCAAAAGAGAAAACTGCCCGATAAAGAAGTACGAAGTTACTGAAAACTCGAAATGTTTGCATGAATTCAGCATACAATCAAGATTCCCCTAAAATAGAAGCTTGGACCAGAATCTGTGATAAAGCAGTTAAGCTCTTCATTTTCGAAAGCAGAAGACGTGAGTTCGACTCCTATGTGAGCTACGTTGTATCCCTCCTAGACCGGGTTAGCCCGGACAGGCAGGGTCAAAGCAGTCTGTCTAATAAATTAATGATCTAAATAATGTTGATGTGAACGTGAAACGTCCACAATTATATCTGAAGGGCCCTGGTTAGTCCAAGTTTTTCAGAAACGCAGCATGCTGTCACAAATTTGAAATTTGGTTTCTCAATATTTTCACTTCTTTACTTTCGTCTTCCCTCCAAGCAGAGGTTAAACTGCACCCTGTGAACCGAAGGAATGATAGGAGCCCAAATCGTTCCCTTCTCGCTTAGAACAGGGGAATTATACGTTGCCGTCACATGCCCAGCGAGCCTGGACTGCACTTAATGACTTATTCCAGCCACAGTAATGACCACTACGCTGACCAGAGCAGTGACCACTACCCTGTCTGAATAATTTATCTTGCCTCCATTGCCGGGAGTCAGAACTTGACCTATCCCATAACTAAACAATAAGATTTACGACTTATGCAAAGACGAGAGGCTAAATGGATTGAATAGCTAGCTATGGAAAAAGGTGCTTTTCATAGATCTCGTAATTTGCAAGCGAAGAAAAAGATTTTCACAGCCTTTTCGTGTCCCTGCATTGACAATGTTTTAACATCTATTAGGGACTCGTGCATCTATCTATATATCGATCTATCTATCTAGCTAGCTAGCTTTATTTATCATCTATCTATCTACCACCCCATCACATCACACCTCACCTCCCCTCCTCTCCCCTCAGATCCCAAAGCCACCGGCTGAGCCCCTCCTCCTCCACCTTGCACCACCTGACCCCGCCCCGCTCCCTCAGCTATCGTCACAGCCGCCGTAAACCTTCGACAGCCGGCCTCGAGGCCTCGGGTTTTTCCGTGGACCAGCCGGGAAGACACGACGAGGGGCTCGACTCGGACGATATGGAGGACCAGCTCATTTATGACGACAGCTCTGACGATGTGAGTGATAGTGGCTCTTTTGTCGTCATCTTATTGTTGCTTATACTGTTCGTCTTGTTATTGTTGTTGTTGTTGTTGTTGTTGTTGTTGTTGTTGTTGTTGTTGTTGATGTTGTTGTTGTTGTTGCGATCGTTGTTGTTGCTGCTGGTGTTGCTCTTTTTGTTGCTGTTGTTGTTGAATTTACTGCTGCTGATTCTGTTGTTGCTGTTGGGTTTTTTTATTTTGTTGTTTTTATTGTTGTTGGCATCATTGTCGACATCGTCATTGTTGTCGTTATTGTTGTTGTTGTTGTTCTTGTTGTTATCCTTTAGGACCACAGTTCTGATGACGTGAATGATGGGGGGCGTGTTCTGTCGTTGTTCATAAATAACTACAGTCACTCCGATGTGCACAAACATTTGTTTATTTTTATTTTTATCAAAAATAAAAATGAACAATGTTGCCTTATCCTTGCAAGGCATCTCCACATCAACGACCGCCATATTTGGATACATAATATTCTATCAATACATGATAATCAATCAAATTCAAACATATTATGATACTGCACAATAGCAAAGACGACGTGAACGTTATTAATAAATAACGTTCCGCCAAAAATATAGTGCACATCGGGTAACAAAAATTCTATTGTTGATTGTGTTATTCTTCTCCTTGCCATTGCTGCTACGTTTGTTTGTTGCTCATGCTGCTGCTACCTCTGTCGTTGATGTTTTTGTTGTTGTTGCTATTGTTATTGCTGTTGTTATTTCTGTTGTTATTGCTGTTTTTGTCACTGTTGTCCCTGTTGTCCCTGTTGTCCCTGTTGTTGTGGTTATGGCCACTATTGTTGCTGCTGCTGCTGCTGCTGCTACTGTTGCTGTTGCTTCTATTGTTGATGGTGCTGTTTTGGCCCTGTTGATTTAATGACCTGTGTTTCTCATGGTACATGGTCATTATCAATAAAACTAAAACAAAACAAACAAACAAAAGGAAAACTAAAAACTGGACTGATCTCCCCAGGTCTCGTTGTCAGAAGTTCTGCACGACGCTGGGGGAACGAGCAGCTTCGAGGAAGATGACGACCCCGGCCAAGACGATAATGACGACAACGACGACAATGATGAGGATGACGACGAAATTCTCACCATTGAAAGATATGAGGACACCAACAGCGAGGCAGACCGACTGAGTGTTGGTTGGGGTGACCCGCGACCCACCTCTTGTCTTATAGAAGATGACGCCCTCACGAGCCAGCCACGCCCACCTCAGGAGGAAGGGAGGGAGCAAAGCCGAGAAGGGGATGGGCGTAAGAGCAGTAGGGGAGGGGAGAGTGTGGTGGTGTCCAACATTGGGAGCAGTATGCCAAGTGAAGACAGTCAGGATTCAGGTGAGTTGATTGGACAATTTTGGTGTTTGCATAAAAAGTTTGATAAAAGTCGCTTCTCTGACTGTTTGTCAGTCTCTCTCTCTCTCTCTCTCTCTCTCTCTCTCTCTCTCTCTCTCTCTCTCTTCTCTCCTTTCGTTCCAAATGTGTTCTCAACCAATTCATTTGTAGCACTGTTTATTCGGATATCTCATTAACATTAACATCCAAACACCTAACAACCCGGCTGTGATACTTCTCCTCAGGTCTACCGGACGTTCAGAGAAGTGACTCCCGCAGCTCTAGTGGCCGCAACAGACACGAGGGGGACCTCGCCGATCCTCGGAACAGCGGAAGAGGAAGTAGGAACAGCGGAAGGAGTAGCCGCAGCAGCGGAGGGAGTGATAAGGAACGGCCTTCGTCTGCTGCCAAGACCAGCGAAGAAACGAAAAGTCATGAAAAGAGTTCTAAGGGGGAGAACATCCGCGTGAGCTTGAAGCACGAGGATTCGATGGAAAATTACATCGAGAAACAAAAATGGCCAGGAAATGTCTTGGAGCCAACTGTCGTCTTGGGCAACCCGGAGGGAGAAGGTTTAAAACTTTCAACAGCTGTCGCTTTGAGCGGAACTGTTGGACTCGCGAGTTTGAACATCTCCTCGGAGAACGTGAACGACGCAGGCGAGAACGGTGCCAGACGAGTACGAAAACTGTCAGTTGTCTCCCCTCCCTTGTCCCCAGCTGAGGTGAACCAGCCCGAAGAGAAGCAAAAGCTCCCGTCTCCGTCCTGTGCATCCGTCAACAACATGCAGATGACAGGTCTGAGAGCCAGTAGCTCAGACATGGCTATGCGCTGCTTCACGCCGGTAGAAACGGTGCCAATCATCCCCCTGCCTCCTATTGAACCAACCCTGGATCCTCCTCCGAAAGAGCTGCCGGAACAAAATCTGCATACACAACAGCAGCAGCAGCAGCAGAAGCAGCAGCAGCAGGAGGAGGGGGAGCAGCAGCAGCAGCAGCAACAACAACAACAACAAATACAGCCAAAGAAGCAACAAGGCCAGCACAGTCGGCTGCAGAGACAGCAACATTTGACGCAACAAAGTTCGTTGCAAGAGGTCTTACAAAACAAACGCCGCCTTCCTCCACCTCCACCCCCACCACGACAACATCGTCCTCAACAACGACAGCAACAACTACATCTACAACAACAACATCAACAGCAACAGCAATCACAACAACCGCAGCATCAACAGCTACAACAACAACAGCATCATCAACAGCAGCAGCAACAACAACAACAACAACAACAGCAACAACAACAGCAACAACGACAGCGACACCCTCAGCACCAACAACGACACCCTCAGCACCAACAACGACAACAACAACAGCAGCAACAACAACAACAACAACAACAGCAACAACAACAGCAACAGCAACAGCAGGCTCTCCAGCACATCAGCAGCGGCGCCACCACACTGACCAACGGCCTCGAGAGCTGTTGTGGAGGAGGGCCTCTGGTGGAGATTCCGGCAGAGAACAGGGTCACTTGTGCCGCGGAGATCCACAGACAGAAAAGTGTTACTGGACCCAGTACCACGGACATACATGGTCATACAGAGACCACGTTATAGGGGAAAGGGGAGAGAGAGGGAGTGTGTGTGTGTGTG